AAGCTATGGATGGTATTTTGAAGAATGAGTACTCCAGAACACTAATTGTGCTCATGAAGAACCAGTATATAGTCCAACAGGCAATTTGAACAGAACAAGGGAACACTGAATGGCTTAAAAATTTGAAAGGTGTGAGCTAGGGTTGTATTCTTTCAACATACTTATTCAATCTGTATGATGAGCAAATGATCTAAGAAGCTGGATTATATGAAGAAAAATATGCCATCAGGATTGAAGGAAGACTTTAACAACCTGCTATATGCAGATGATACAACCTTGCTTGCTGGAAGTGAAGAGGATTTACAATACTTACTAATGAACATTAAAGACCACAGCCTTTGGTATCGGTTGTACCTCAATGTAAAGGAAACAAAAATCCTCACCACTGGACCAATAAACAATGTCCATACAGATGGAGAAAAGATTGAAGTCATCAAAGACTTCATTTTGCTTGGATCAACCATTAACACTCATGGATACAGCAGTCAAGAAATCAAATGATGTATTGCATTAGGCAAATCTGCTGCACAAGATCTCTGTAGAGTTTTGAAGAGCAAGGATGTCAGTTTGAGGACTAAGATGCGCCTGGCCTAAGCCATGGTATTTTCAACAACCTCATATGCATGCGAAAGTTGGCCAGTGACTAAGGAAGACCGTAGAAGAATTGATGCATATGAGTTACAGTGTTGGAGGAGAATATTGTAAGTACCATAGACTGACAAAAGAACAAACAGATGTGTGTTGGAAGAAGTACAGCCAGAGGGCTCCTTGGAAGCCAGGATGGCCAGACTTTGTCTCTCATACTTTAGATATATTATCAGGAGGGACCAATTCCTAGAGAAGGATATCATGTTTGGTAAAGTGGAGGGTTGGAGAAAAATAAGACTCCCTTCCCCCTCAATGATATGTATTGGCATAGTGGCAGCAGCAATGGGCTCAGGTGTACCACCGATTGTGAGGTTGGCCCAGGACCGGGCAATGTTTTGCTCTGTTGTGCATAAATTTGCTATGAGGATGAAAACAGAATTTTCATCCCAAACCTCTCCTTAGAAGAGACATGACTTGCTGAAAAACGAATGAATTAAAGACCAGAACACAAACATGAAAACTCCAGAGTTATTTCTAATGAGATCATCTTGGTCAAATTCCAAGATCTAAAAAACTAGAGCTATTTACTTGGTAATATTGCTTTTTTTACTCTACAACTGAGGCAGTTGGTTGGTTGTCAGCATGTTATAAGTGAATATGAAGATTGATAATGTGTACCTGGTTTGGGGTCTACCCCATTACTGGTCATGTGGCAAGTATGTGACCACCTGATTTTAAGGACATTAACCTTCAAGCCTTAAGACTTTACTGAGCAGTTGACCTGGAGAGCAAACAAAACAAAACACAGCCTTTGTCTGTGTCTATCTTTTTCTGCTGTTTGTACACGGTATTCTTTGCTACAACAAGTCTTAACCAAGAGTAGATGTTGAGTCGTGCGAATCCTTTCTCAGAATCACCAAAAATATTGGGTGGTTTTAGATATGTTGTGATTGTTAAGTGCCATGGAGTCCATTCTGTACAGGGTTTCTAAGGAGACGCTGGTGAGTTTGAACCACAGACCTTGTGAGTTCAAATCGACCTGAGGTCAAGTGCTTATCCTACAAGCACCATACCAGGACTCCAGTGCACATAGCCAGTATTTGTTACTTGTTCCTAGCTGTTTGGAAACCCTATACAGGATTGCTAAGAGTTGGAACCACCACCACCACCACCACCAGAAAACCCCCCAACACTGTACTTGTGGAGTCCTGGTGTGGCGCTGTAGGATAAGCACTGTTGTTGTTATGTGCCATGGAGTCGGTTCCGACTCATAGTGACCCTGTACAGGGTTTCCGAGGCTGTAAATCTTTACAGGAGTAGAAAGCCTCATCTTCCTCCCTCATTACAGTTGGTAGTTTCGAACTGCTGACCTTGCGGCTCGGCTCGCAGCCCAATTCATAACCACTATGCTACCAGCGCTCCAAGATAAGTACTGGACTGGTCCAAACCTACCAGCCACTCCTTGAAAACCCTGTACAGGGCCATTAAAAGTCACAACCGACGCGAAGGTACTTCACAACAACTGCACCTAATGTATAATACTTTTAACCCTCTCATTACCTGTGGAACCTCTGGAGTTTGGTGGAAAGTTGTTATCCCACGTTTATTGCACTATGCCATCTGGTGGGGATCTGTATAACTTCATGAATCTGAAAAAAATGGGGCTCAAGGGACGCTGTGGGATAAGCAGTGAGCTACTAACCATAAGATTACTGGTTCGAACCCACAAGCAGCTCTTGGAAACCTTATACACGATTCTATGAATAGGAATTGACTCGATGGCACTTAATAATTAAATAAAAAAAATCCATATTATTTCAAAAACAGTGTTTCCCCATTTCATTAAAAACGCCTTCCATTCTGAAAACATGGTTAAAAAAATGAAAAGCAGAAAATAATTTAATCTTGAAAGAACTAACGAAATATCCTATTGCACTATACATATTTACTTACGAGTATGTCTAGACTGTAGTCTACTTAATGTCCTTTTCTTCTCCATAGTGCCTAGCATAGTATCGGACACAAAAGTCAGTGAGTAAATACTTGAATGAGGCAACCTTTCTGAGGGCAAGAAATAGAAAATATTCTGCAACATCCAGGTTTTGAAAAATTAGTTTAGAAAATAATCTTTCTAAAGGAGGGTTGAGGGTAAAGACACATTTAGTAGAGAAGTGAACTCTTTCTCAAATTGCTACTCATTAACTTCCAAGATTTAAGACTTGTAGTTGCAAAGATTCTACAAAGGGTTTGTCAGGTTAATTTCTTGTCTAGACTACAGCTACTTGACAAATTACACTTTCTAAATTAGACTTTAAAACGCCCCAAACAACCAGTGCTATCGTAGTTCTTACCTTTGCCCCCACTTTTGGTACTGAACATGCTTTAGCATTTTCTTGGCTTCATAGGGCAACCCTGAACTGTCATCATAATTAGCTGGCAAAATAGTGTCACGGTCATGTTAGAGACCCAAAATACTTGATTTATCATGAGAGACATATTAGTAAAGAATGTCCATAAGAAACGTTTTGTTTATCTATGGAGATTGTAAACGGTTTCACGTTTTTGTCAGAAAAGGATATGAACCATAGTTTCAACTTTATGTTTGGATTAGTTTTGTGTTTTTTCTTCAAATCTTATAAAGGTGAATTACACGACTTTTTAATGGGGGGCGGAGGGAAGAAGGAAAAAAGAAAACCTTAGCAGAGGATGGTTTCGATCCATCGACCTCTGGGTTATGGGCCCAGCACGCTTCCGCTGCGCCACTCTGCTAGTCGGTGAAACAAGCTTCCTAATAATACTCTTAACATTATCAGCCTGTACGCGCCAGGCCGCATACTTCCAGTAATTAATTCCTTGGCGAACCCTAGTTGCTAATTCTCTTTATAATAATTTTGCCACCAGAATCAGAGAAAGCCAAACTAGGAGTTACAGAGAAATAAAAACAAACCAGTCGCCATAAAATGAATTCCAACCTAGAGTGGCGCTGTAGCATAAAGCACTGGACTGAAAGATCTATTTGAACAGCCACTCCTCGGAAACCCTATGACAGGGTCGCTATCAATCTCGCTATCAATTGGAACCGACTCGAGGGCACTAACAACTGGAGTTTTAAATACTGACACATCGGGATTTCAAAGAAAGACTCTTCCGCAGGAATCATCGCTAGGCCTTTCTTCCGAGTAGAAAAGTAAATACCATCATATTGGTAAGCTATTGGGTACACAGATATGGGATGTTTAGGTAAGAATTACAGATATGAATGAACAGAAAAAATAGGAATTCCACACCTTGCGGGGCTGGCGAGATTTCTACCATGTACCAAAACTTCACACATTATTTGCTTTCAGAAACACCCTTTTGGTAAAATTTTCCTTGGATTGAAACTTGCAGTTTTAAAACTCTTTCTAAAAGACATTTCGTATAGTGGGTCTTTGTTACAGAAAGGAGCCGCAAAGCCTCAGGGTAAAGCTGGACTGTTCGCTTTGCTAAAGAGTCTATGGCAGTTTGGAAAGTGCAATCATCATCGCAATAAGCTAATACTAATCATTGAAAAACCTCAATTTCTTTCTTCTGATGTTTGTAAACGGTCTAAAATTCCGACTCGGCTAGGAGACTCCTTTTGAGTACTTCAGTCGTTAGGGCGGGAACCCAATTCGTCAATGACGTCATCTGGGCCTGGTCTTCAAAGGGCAGGGCCAAACAACAACAAAAAAACCGGAACCCACGTTCCCGCGCGCGCTCATTCGGTTTTCAATCAGGTCCGCAAGACAATCCTATAAAAGGGTTGTTTGGCCTAGCCTTTTCATAGCTGGCTTTTCTGGCGTTGTACTGATCATGTCTGGACGTGGTAAAGGCGGAAAGGGACTCGGCAAGGGAGGCGCTAAGCGCCACCGCAAAGTGCTTCGTGATAACATCCAGGGAATTACCAAGCCTGCTATTCGGCGCTTGGCTCGTCGTGGTGGCGTTAAGCGTATCTCCGGCCTCATCTACGAGGAGACCCGCGGGGTCCTCAAAGTGTTTCTGGAGAATGTGATCCGCGACGCCGTAACCTACACCGAGCACGCCAAGCGTAAGACTGTGACTGCTATGGATGTGGTTTACGCGCTGAAACGCCAGGGGCGCACCCTCTACGGCTTCGGAGGCTAAATTTTCCTCCTTCACTTTGCTTTTCAACCAAAGGCCCTTTTCAGGGCCGCCCACCGCTTCTCGTAAAAGAGCTAACATTTTAAAACTTCGTGTGATCAAGATTTACAGCTAAAGTTGGCACTTTGTTGTAAGTGGGCGTGTATGGGATTTGGAATGTTTTCTAGCTATGAAACAATTGAGCGTGAGCACATTTGTCTGGTTACATTTAAGCTAGTTAGTGAGAAAGCTCGGCTAGTTTTTTCTAGTTTTCAATCTTGATTCGAGGTCGATGGCAGATTTACGTGCTGCTGGGTGCCATCTGCTCTCAGGAAAGTTATTTGGCGCCGGTAATATTTGTAATTGACTCGATGCCCCTGGTAGAGATGGAAATTGCCTCAGAGGTAGCTAGGAGAGCCTCCCCTCCCCTGCCAGGATTCCGGCGCACAAAATGGCGGGGAGGGCGAGGAACAAAGAAAGCCCGCGTCCTGGTGCCAGCAGGAAAGGCCCGAGACAGACGAGTTTGAGCGAAGGTTGCTGCCGGGCAGGGGGCGGGTGCACTGCCGTTCGGACTGTCTCACTGTCAAGCCTCTGGTGTATAAAGTGTAATGAAAATACTGAAATGTACAAGAGAAGTAAACTTGCCAAGTATGCTTTTTTTTTTTTTTTAAATGAAAACATTAAAACGAGATTCTGTAAGCACCTAAATTTAAATAAATGGACTTGATGGCATTTTAAGTAAGTACACTGACATCTGTACTACATTGACTCTCAAAGTAAGACTACTAAAACTAGTTATCGTAGATATCTGTATCTAAGTCCACATTCAGAATTTTGCTCCTAAATGTCCTAAAACTGGTATGTTCAAGAGTCAGTTACAATACACCTTTTGATGTATTCCTAGTGTCCCCACCTCCTTTTTACCATGGTTTTCTTTTTTGATTTGTATCCCCCTTCTGGATTGGTTTCCTGATGGAAACATTTTGTCAAGTTTGCCTTGTATGTCCTGTAAACTAAAAGTGATTTCCATAGATATGATTGAAAGTAGGTTAATATTGTCAGGAACAATATCAGTGATGTCATGTTATTGCACATCAGGGATGCATCTAGTTCTTGAAAAAATTGAGAAGACTGATCAGTGGTGATAGGCCATTGAAAAATCATATTTTCCTCTTTATAACCAGAAGGTGAAATTTATGTAGGGCTATACTTTGAAATCTGGAGAAGCAATGTTCATTTGGAATCACATCTTTTTTTTTTTTAAAGATGCAGGCGTTTGTGTTTAAATATGAAAAGAATCAGATATTGTAGCTAAGCCAGCAGTTTGAGGAGAAAAAGTTTTATGAAGATGTTAATTTAGTCATCCACCCCAACCCCTACCCACAATTTTTTCCTTTTGCACATATTGTGTGTGCCAGACCCTGTGCTAAACTCTGGAAATAGAACAATGAATAAATGTGAGAAAAGGATTTCTAAGCTTGTGGAGTTTATTTGATTAGAGAAGAGGCAGACAAAATAAAACATACAATGTATCAGATAGTGCTGAGTACTATGTAGACCAGGAAAATGCATAGAGGATGGGAGGATTTTACTGACATGATTGTGTATGATTGGGAAAAAAAGCTTGAGTAAGAGAAGGAGTTGTTAAATGCCATCGAGTCTGTTCCGACCCATGGTGACCCTGTACAGGGTTACTGAGCCTGTAAATCTTTACGGGAGCAGAAAACCTCATCTTTCTTCTGAGAAGTGGCTGGTAGTTTAGAACTGCTGACTTTAAGGCTCGCAGCCCAATTCGTAACCCACAGCGCCACCCCAAGATTCATTTGGTTTTGACAAAAGTGAAGTAAGCTCCTGTGAGGCTTTGAGCAGGGTGCTGACATGATCTCATTTATGTTTTTTAAGTGAATAGATTATGATGGGTTTAGGGTGGGAGCAAGTAGATCAGTTAGGAGTATATATAATAATAATACAATTTAGAGATGACTGTGGATCAGGGTGTTACTACTAGTGGAGACTGTGAAAAGTGATTGGCTTCTGTATAAATTTTCAAGACAGGATTTTCTGAGGGATGGCACTTAACAATGACAAGAGTATAACTACCATGAAAATAAAAAAGCCACAAGATATGATAACATTATCTCTTAGGCAAGGGATTGATAATGAAGAGAACCAATTCCAGGTCTAAGTCTTCAGTCAGAGAAATAAGCATTGTTTGCTCTGTTATTCTGAGTGTGGATTCATGATTTATAGTTTATAGTTTTATAGTTTATAGATTTATAGTTTATAGACCTAGCAGAATAAATGTTATTATTTTACAGATGTGGAAATGTGTTCTCAGTAATGTCATTTGTTGTTGCGAAGTGCCATCAAGTTGGTTCCAATTTATCGGCCATGTATAGGGTTTCCAAGGAGTGGCTAATGGGCTTGAACCGTCAACTTGGCAGGTAGCAATCCAATGTTTATCCAACAGCGCCACGCCAGGACTAAGACTATTCTATAAAACTGAGAATTATACTCAAATAGTGTGTAAAAGATCATGGGAGATCATTTTTGGGAACTAGTGTTAGATATACATGTCCTTCCCAAAATGCATCCCCCTCCCACCATATTTTACTTGTAATTCCAGGGATTTCTCAGGCCTTTTGAAGCCTATTTGTGTATTTAGTTTAAGAGCTCTGTGTCTGACTTTGCTTTTTTTCCTCCTTAGCTTGGCTGGCTCCTGATGGCTGAAAAGTTGGACATTGAGGACCCAAATCTGTGCCTGATTATGTTGAACTGATATTTCCTTGTTGGTATACCGACACTGTGTACACATTGATGGTATGGAAATGAAATCACCAGCACTGAGGTTTCTCCTGAACTCCAGACTCAATAGATCCAGCTACCTAAGAGACAGTTTAGTTCCTGCCTCAATTACATCTTGTCCCAATGACATTAGACTCTACCTGGTGGTTTGCTATGGTCAGTGAATCTAAGTGAAAATGACATGTGCTACTCCTGAGCAGAAACCTTAAGAAGCATTGTATGATCTGTCATTTTTCCTTCAGTGTCGTTCTTTAGATTGTTACTGGGAAAAATGATTATCACTTGCTGCTGATGGAGCCAATATTGAGAGACAGGACTCAGAGCACAGAGCAAAGCATTTATTGAGTATGGATACCCAGGAAAACAGGGGGTAGAAAATCTCCCAAATCTGTCTGTCTCCTTGAACAAAAGGCGAGGGGAGCTTTTATGGGGATGTTGAGTATGATTTATTATCTCTTGTCTATACCTTGCCCCTTTATTCTTTATATTGGGAGGTTTTTTATGGTTCTGCTGATCTTTCCCCGATGCCACTTTTCTGATATCCCAGTTATTTCCCTCCTGTTCCTTTTACCCTAAGACTTTTCTTAATTGTGAAATAAAAGGATTTGAATACCAAAGTTTTCATAATTCTGTGGTGAAATGAAGGGATTTGAATATCTATCAGTGGTTTCCAAATATTCACCCATGGACAATGTATTATTTTCTACTTTTTCATTATTCTGTGGTAAAATGAGAAAAAAATAAACTCAGTATAATACATTTTCCTTTTGTTGCTGTTAGATGTCATCAAGTCTGTTCTGACTCTTAGTAATCTTGTGTACAGCAGAACGAAACACTGCCTGGTCCTGTACCATCCTTACGGTCTTTCATATGTTTGAGTTCATTGCTGCAGCCACTGTGTTAATCCATATCATATTTCTCTCTGGTCCTCAAAATTATCAAGCATATCTTTCCCCAGGGACTAGTCCCTTTTGGTAATTGTAGTAACACAAACCAAATGCTCCAAAATAGCAATATTAATGTCAACACAGGAGTCCTGGTGTGGCACTGTGGGTTAATGTGTTGGACTTCAAAGTCGGTTTGAACCGCATGGTTGGCAGTTCAGTCTCACCAGCTGCTCCTCAAAAACCCTATACAGGGTTGCTATGGTTGGAACCGACTCAATGGCACTTAATAACAACATTGTATTATGAGTCCTGGTGTGGCGCTGTAGGATAATGCACTGGACTACAAGGTTGGCTGGAACCATAAGGTCAGTGGTTCAAACTCACCAGCTGTTTCTTGGAAACTCTATACAGGGTTGCTATGAGTCAGAATTGACTTGGTGGCACTTAACAACATTATATTATGATGGCAGGATGGTTACTAGGACGGTTACTAGGACGCCTTCTACATTTTGCTGTGGCTATGCTAAAATCCCATTAGCACCATGGGGGTTCTCAGTGCCCCATTTCAATTCCCCCTTTTGTAGTTAGTTTCTCAATCTTGGGAAATAGGACATTCTCTTATTTTAGTTGCTTCCTGCTGAACGATGGCAGAGGGTGATGTGGGGTGAGAAAACTTAATTCGGTTTAGTATAGTGGTGGGGGGGGAGTTGAGTGGTGGGAATTGGAAACATCCCATTGGATTAGTTAATAGACATGTGTTTCTGAAGTAGAGGGAACATGAAGTAGAGTGAAAACTTTGCCCACCCCAATGATGCTAACTGCTACCCAAGCCACTACCCCTACTAAGCAGAGGAAAATGAAAACTACTAGTAATATGATTCCCATAAAAAATAGGTAAACCAGCCAGGAACGTAAAGTGGGCAAGACGTGGGTGAACTACGCCTTAGTTCCTGTGTCTTGGCCTTGAACTGGTCCAGTCTGTTGTCTTACAGATGGCATGAATTCAGAGTTTAGCCTCCCCTGTAGTGCTCATCCAGGTGGTGGCACACCCAACCATCTTTTAAGCCCCTGTCTAGGAGTCCTGCTGTGGCGCTGTGGGTTAATGCACCAGACTGCAAAGCCATTTGAACTGCAAGGTCTGCAGTTCAAGCTCACCAGCTGCTCCTCAGAAACCCTATACAGGGTCACTATGGGTCGGAACTGACTTGTCAGCACTTCACAATAACAACATACTATGTGAAGCCCTGGTGTGCTGCTGTGTGTCAATGCGCTGGACTGCAAAGTCAGTTTGAATTGCAAGGTGGGTGATTAAAGCTTACCAACTGTTCCTTGGAAACTCTATACAGGGTTGCTATCTGTCAGAATTAATTTGATGGCATTTAACAACAACAACTATGGTATAGAGTCCTGGTGTGGTGCTGAAAGATAAGCACTGGACTGACTGCAAGATCAGTTTGAATTGCAAGGTCAACAGATCAAACTCACCAGCCACTCCTTGGAAACCCTATATAATGTCACTATGAGTCTGAACTGACTCTATGACACTTAACAACAACACAGACAGAGTCCTCTGAGTCTACAAAAAGCTTTTACAAACCAAATCTTATTTGATCCAAAGAACTTCGAGATATGGGAGCCTTTTTGCTGTTCCAAGGGTATCTGAAATTCCAAATAACATTTTCAGCAATATCCCTGTCCCCAGGTCTTGCTTTACCTATTTAAATGGAGTCCTGGTGTGGTGTTGTGGGTTAATGCACTGGACTGCAAAGCTATTTTGAACCACAAGGTTGGTGGTTCAAACTCACCAGCCGCTCCTCGGAAACCCTATACAGGGTTGCCATGAGTTGGAACTGACTGGACGACACTTAAACAACAACAACAGGAGTAAGGGCCCTGTCACTACACATAGAAGGGCTAGAGCATCCCCAACCTGGTCAGGGAGAGAACCCTCTACTTGCAGGACAAAAGGGGTTTACTTTCTTCTAAGATGGCTTTTTAAAATGAAAACAGGTAAAGAGCTAATAAACAAGCCATCTTACCTCTTAATAAATTTATATGTAAGCCCAGTTATGGAGGTATAAGTGAAGGAGCCAACTTGGTATCCTTCTTGCAGGTGCTGGTCCTTCTACACCTTAAATTGTTTGATGTCTCCTGGGGAGTACCTGTGGAGAGGAGTGTCCTAGGGGAAAGACATTCAGAGAGAAAGAAATTAATTAGTGGTCTTTCAGGTGGGAGCGTCATGGCTCTAGAGGACAAGCACTGGATTGCAAACTACAATGTTGGTGGTCCAAATCTACCAGTTGCTCCACGGAAGAAAGATAAGGCTCTCTGTTCCTGCAAAGTTTCACAGCTCTGAAGCCCCACACAGAGTCACCATGAGTTGGAACTGACACAACAGCACTTAACAACAAAGTGGTACCTAAGGGTTTACAACCACTCATATTAGTCGATTCATAGTGTGCAGTTTGAGCCTGCTTCTAGGGGCAACTGATCCTGAGCAGGGCAAAGGGAATCACTTACTACCAAGTTAGATTATTCTCTTGGCAAGGTTTTCCCAGGGTTTTCTTTAGTGTATGGTTCTTGGTTTTTCTAGTCGATTGGTGTCTCTAGGAGATGTACAATTTTCATTTTGCTTGGAGAGTTTGGAATCCCTAATCAACTGCTTTCTTGAGATCTGCAGTGGAGAGTAATTTAGGTGTGAACATCTTCAACCCAAGTTTGAGATTTAGGGCCTGCATGAATGGAAGCTGGACTCTCACCTTGGTGATTCGTTTGTTCAATGATTTCCTTCAGCTTCGGTGGTGGTGTTTTCGATGATCTGGGTCATGCTGTTGTTATGCTTGAGCCCACTGCTGCTACCACTGTTCCAATCCAATTCACTGAGGGTCCTTGTCTCCCTTACTGACCCTCCACTCTATTAAACATGAGTTCCCCTCTAAGAACTGGTCCCTCCTGACACCATGCCCAAAGTATGAAAGAAAAAGTTTTCACCATTCTGGCTTCTAAGGAGCATTCTGGCTGTATTTCCTCCAACACAGACCTACCTTCTCCTCTGACAGTTCATGGTACTGTCCATATTCTTCTCCAACAACACAACTCAAATGCATCAATTCTCTGGTTTTCCTTAATCTTTGTCTAACTTTCACATGGGTCAAGTGTACCTTTGAACTCCCAAAATGACATTCAAAACGTGATCAAAGAAAGATGAAATTTCACCATCCTGGTATCTAAGAAACATTCTAGCTGTATTTCTTCCAAGACAGACTTGTTGCAACTTGTGGCAGCTCATTGTATATTCAATATTTTTTGCCAATATCTTAATTCAAATGCATCGATTCTTTTTTGGTCTTCCTTATTCATTATCCAGCATACTCATTTTCCTTAGTACTAAAAAATAAATGTATTCATATAAAGGATTGTTACTTATTTTTGGTTTGCCCTTACTGCCTTTGTGGTAATGAAAGCGTAGTCCTATCAGGAAATACAGGAGCTCTGGTAGCATACTGGTTATGAGTTGGGCTGCTAACCTCAAGGTCAGCATGGGAGAACTATGAGGCTTTCTGCTCCCATAAAGATTTATAGCCTCTGAAACTGTATACAGGGTCACTATGAGTTGGAACCGACTCCATGGCACATAACCAACCAACTTAGGACATAGGACATAATATTGATTGTTGATTGTTGTATTTAAATTGGTTGACTGACAATCCTATGAGGAGCCCTGGTACACAGTGGTTAAGCACTTGACTGCCAACCAAAAGGTCAGCAGTTCAAAATCACACATTCATTGGGAAAAATATGTGGTAGGCATGAAGATAAACACTGGCCTGCTAAATGCAAGATTGGCGGTTCAAATCCACTAGCTACTAACTGCTCCTTGGATAGGGTGGCTATGAGTCTGAACCAATTCTATGGCACTTTAACAACAACAGTTTCTATAAACTTATGAGAAACTCTGTGGGGCAGTTCTAACTCTGCCCTGTTAGGGTCCTTATAGGGTTGTTACCAGAAAAGGCGGTTCTTTATTACTTGCCTATCACCTGCTGCTAGGGAGTCCTGGTGTGGTGCTGTGGGTTAATGTGCCAGACTGCAAATCCGTTTGAACAGCAAGATTGCTGGTTCAAGCTCACCAGCTGCTCCTCGGAAATCCTATGCAGGGTTGACTATGGGTCAGAACAGACTTGATGGCACTTAATAACATCACCTACTGGTGATGGAGCCAATATTCAGAGACACACAGGGCTCAGAGCACAGAGCAAAGTGTTTATTGAATATCAATACCAAGGAGAACAGGGGAGTAGATTTACCAGCTCTGTCTCCCCAAACAAAAGGGGAAGGAAATTTTTATACGGATTTTGGGTATGAGGTAGGGGCCCATGAGGGATCCTTCTAACCAAGCTGGAACAGCTTCCTTAATCTCTCCAGGTGGTGACTATCAGTAGGCATTAAAGATGTATGATGTTTTATTTCCTGTAATAGTCCTTCCTTGGGGTAGTTTTTGGCTACTAATTAGAGAAAAAGAAATTACTACTTTTAGAGGAGACTCTGGTAGCATAGTGGTTATGAACCAAGCTGCTAACATCAAGGTCAGCAATTCAAAACTACCAGATGTTCCATGGGAGAAAGATGAGGTTTTCTGCTCTCATAAAGATTTCCAGTCTCCGGAAGCAACTCAATGGCACACAAACAACCACCATTGTATTATAATGGCTATTTGGGCCTGGAGTGGCTCTGTAGGATAAGCACTGGACTGCAAGGTGGGTTCAAACAGTTAAGGCCAGCAGTTCAAACCCACCAGCTTCTCCTTGGAAACCCTAGGCGGAAACCATAGGCGGAAACCCTAGGTGGAAACCCTAACAGGGTCACTATTAGAGGAAACTAACTCAGTGGCACTTAACAACAACAACAACAATTTTACTTTGGCCAGGCTAAAAACACCTTGGTGGTTCTCAGTGCCCCATCTCAGAAGGGCTAGTGTTGTTTACCTGCCCTTTACAACAGAAATTTAAACCAATCAGTTTCCTTTGAAGTGATCAGTGTCTCAGATGGAAAGGATTCAGACCAGCTTGGGCCTTAACAGGCAGCCAATTTATTTTCAATTAGAGCATTTACTTAGCAAGTGGTAGGAGCAGTCTTTCAAAATGCTTCTGGTTTGGAGTTAATATGAATGAACTCAAATAAGTAAATAGAGGAAAAGAAATGCAGTGAGGTTGTTCAAAGGGAGCAGGAGAGATGGGGAGTAAAAGGGAATAAAAATTTACTAAGCAACTCATATGTGTTTTCCGGACCTCTTTCTTATAACCCAACATATGTAACCTAACACATTAAATGAGGCATATCCCTACTTCTGGAGTCCTGGTGTGTTGCAGTAGGTTTAGTGCACTAGACCTCAAGGTTGGTTTGAACCACAAGGTCGGAGGTTCAAATTCATCAGCCACTCCTTGGAAACCCTATACAGGGTTGTTATGAGTCACAACAAACTCATCGGCACTTAACAACAACCCCTATTTCTGAGTCCCTGGGTAGTACAAAACTGCAAGTGCTCGGTTGATAACTGATAGGATGGAGGTTTAAGTTCACCCAAAGGCCACATGGAGTCACCATAAATTGGAATCCATTCTTTCTACAACGAACAAAAGATTAACCACAGTTTTAGCAGGCACCTGGGAAGGTCTCTGGAGAATATGACATATGTTGCTCGAATTGGCGCACAAAGGCAGGGAAATCTCATAGCCATAGGCACTAGGATGTTCTCAAAACAGTTCAGAGAAAAAGGTTCTAAAGATAGTTTTGGACTATTAGAAAAGTCTGTTCACACTACAAAGACAAAGACACTTTGAAGCTAGCTAGAATTCCTACCCAGACCTAAGGCCGACTAGGGTTAAACCATGTAAGAAAATTACATATAGAAAAAAAAAAAAAGAGGTCCACATAAACAAGCCTATTCATTGCAATTGAAGCCTCTTGGCTTTTCTACTTGAACAGAGGCCCCTGGACATTCCCAATGGATGCCAAATGGGCACCCGCCCCCCAACTCTAAAACGAAACAAACCAAACTCCAAATTCACTGCCATAAAGCAGATTTTGATACCAGGCACAAAGACCATAAAAACAGCTAGCTGATAAGCTAGCTTTCTCTGATCATCTTAGTACAGATGGTTTTCCCCTCCACACCTCAGTGCCCAGAAAAACTAAAACTTCCAGATGGCCTTTAAATATCCAAAGCTCTTTTTTCAAAGAGAAACTTTTCCCAGTGTAAGGACTTTGCTGTTTCAGAGTATATGTTCGTCACCTGATCAGTTTTATTTCACTCATAAGCCAACTCTCTATTTTCTCTTTGAGCCTGATTTTCTCTTCCACTCCTATGATTGCAACTATTAGCAGAAAAAAATGGTTCTTTATCACCTGTCACTAATAAAGACAATATTCAGACAGATTCACAGCATAGGGCAAAGCATTTATTGAATATGGATATTAAGAACGGGGGAACAGAAAACTTCCCATTTGTCTTCCCTGAGCAAAAAGGGAGATAAGTTTTAAAAGGGGATTTCACGTATGAGAGGACCCCCAAAGGATTACAGACTTTTAAGTGACAAAGTGGGTGGCTCTTAAAAGAGCCGTTGGGTCGTTAGCACTGGTAAGCAGGTGTAATGTTTACTTGGAGCTGGTGTACTTAGTGACAGCCTTGGTGCCCTCGGACACTGCGTGCTTGGCCAGTTCCCCAGGAAGCAGCAGGCGCACGGCCGTCTGGATTTCCCGGGACGTGATAGTCGAGCGCTTGTTGTAATGCGCCAAGCGAGACGCCTCACCAGCGATGCGCTCGAAGATGTCATTTACGAAGGAATTCATGATGCCCATAGCCTTGGACGAGATGCCAGTATCAGGGTGGACTTGCTTCAATACTTTGTACACGTAGACCGAATAGCTCTCCTTGCGGCTGCGCTTGCGCTTCTTGCCATCCTTTTTCTGCGCCTTGGTCACCGCCTTTTTGGAGCCCTTCTTCGGAGCTGGAGCGGATTTGGCGGGCTCAGGCATTGTAAGAAGCGACTTGGACTGCGAGAAAGGAAAAACAAAGTACTTCTAGTTGCCAATGGTCTTATTATTTGTTAGGTGTATATGCTAATTAGGAATTGCGTGGTTCCAGATAATGATTGGTTGTTTTTGTATCTTGCACTGTAATAGGCTATTTATTATTTCAAACTCTCATTGGCTGTTCTCTTCTTCAACCTAAGATTATTTGACCTTCCAACGACGAACGCTTTATGTAAATAAGGCTGTTTAGGCCTACTATTTGATTGGTTAAAATTTGCTTTCAGCCAATGGCACAGGGTAGTTTATTAAACCACCGTAGACTATAAGAGTCTAGCTCCTACCAACTCTATCTACTTAATTTCATTTTCTGGCTCCCTTCTGAAGCTTCATATCTTATCTCTGTGCGTAGCCATGTCGGGACGCGGGAAGCAGGGAGGTAAGGCTCGCGCCAAGGCAAAAACGCGTTCTTCTCGTGCTGGGCTCCAGTTTCCCGTTGGCCGTGTTCACCGCTTACTCCGTAAGGGCAACTACTCCGAGCGCGTTGGGGCTGGCGCTCCCGTGTATCTGGCAGCCGTGCTGGAGTACCTGACCGCTGAGATCCTGGAATTGGCTGGCAATGCGGCTCGCGATAATAAGAAGACTCGTATTATTCCGCGTCACCTGCAGTTAGCGATCCGCAACGACGAAGAACTCAATAAGCTTCTGGGCAAAGTCACCATTGCGCAGGGAGGCGTCCTGCCCAATATCCAGGCTGTGCTGTTGCCCAAGAAGACCGAGAGCCATCACAAGGCCAAGGGCAAATGAAGCAACTGAGAAACGGTTTGCTCATTCGGCTCTTTCTCAAACCCAAAGGCTCTTTTCAGAGCCACCCATATTTTCACATAAATAGCTTGTAACATAGTGTGTTTTTCTAGCTTAAAGGCTTATTTTGGGAGCCAACCATATTGTCACACAACTATGGAGCTCTGGTAGCGTAGTGGTTACGAATCAGGCTGCGAACCACAAGGTCAGCAGTTCGAAACTACCAGCTGTTCCGCGGGAGAAAGATGAGGTAGTCTGCTCCCGTAAAGAGTTACAGCCTCGGAAACTCTGTGCAGGGTTTCTATGAGTCGGAACCGACTCCACGGCACATAACAAGGTTGTAACTAAAATGGTGGTTCAAGCTCACCAGTCGCTCCATGGAAACCCTCTAGAGGGTCGCCATGGGTCAGAACCGACTCGACGACACTAAACAAGCTTGTAACCGAGGTTTAAGTATTCAGGACAGCAATCTTCACTGTTTTCATACGTGGTCATAATGCCCTCAACTCCATGTTTTGCAAGTGTCTGGGTCTTGGGTAATAAGGCTGCATGTGTGGATGCTAAAAAGAAAAACTGGCTCCCATGGGGAAACAGTTTTGTATTACAAATCAATTATTTTAGGGGTATAAACCAGTGACGCCAAACCTCCACTGTAGATTCGGACTCTGACACTAGCACAGAACTGCCCCATGGGGTATCCGAGTATGTAGGAATTTGTACGAGGATAGCCTCTTTATCCCACGGAGCAGCTGTTGAGTTCGAAACACCTACGTTGCAGTTAGCAGCCCAACGCTTAGCCAAGTGCTTAACCAGGGCGACTTAAAAAGCCTTGACTTTTCAGTCAAGCGAACCTATTGATTCTTAAAAGCATTTCTCTAGGGAAAACACTAAAATAAGGAACAGTCTATTTTTAAGTCAAACGTCCTAGTACTGGAAGGGAAGAGGGGGAGTGGTTGAGTAGCATTTCATTAGGATCCAATGAAAAGGAGAAAAACATTAGGGAGTTGTCAAAGTAATGGAGGGTTTTTCAAATCAGGAAGTTAAAGACGGACACAGGGAAAGCAATTAACATTCGTGGTTCACTTTAGTGCCTGACACTCAGACCAGACCAGGCCCTTTATCCCATTTTTAGGTATTCCGCCTAATAGGTATATTGACATATAATAGGTCAGATTTCAGAGTGCCAATGTTAGATGCCGTTGATTCATAGCGACTTTATGCACAGCAGTGAAGATAGGATGTGGCAATCCACACAACCCGACCCGAATTGGGAAAAAAACCCCCAATACATCCGAGTGAAAGCAAAAATGAGTAAATCAATTCTTAAAAGCATGGTCCTCGGAATCTCAGTCCCCCCTCCCCCCCAATGCAGATTTAAGGGTGTGGCGCTGTGGGTTAATGTGCCAGACTAAGAAGACAAAACCGTTTGAACAGCAAGGTCGGAGGTTCAAGCTCACCAGCTGCGCCGCTGAAACCCTATACAGGGTCGCTAAGGGTTGGAACCGACTAGACAGCACTTCACAACAAGATCTCCACATAGACATAGTTTGAGAACCACTGACTTAACAGCGAAAAATTAGCTACTTTGGATCGTATTAGGTGCTGTTGTTATGATCCTTTGAATCATGTTAAGTACCTTCGAGTCGATCTCGACCTCTAGTGACCCTGTACAGGGTTTCCAAGGAGTAGCTGGTGGACTTGAACCCCCGACCTAGTGATTCGCAGCCACTGTTGATTCTGCAGGGCCACATCAGAAGTTCCTTGGGATCATAAACCAACAAATAAGAAAGAGGTTAGGAATATGGAGTATTTCATCCAATCAGAGACTCTATTTATTTACCAATCACCACTCTCATTTTTCGCCCAATGGGCTTATCGCGCGGGACTTTTGAAAAGTCTCCAAGCCAATCAGAATGTTTCTGAGTATATATAAAGGCAACTTCTTGCGGCTTTACTTATTAGTTGAAGTAGTCTTCGTGTTTGGAGGGATGGCTCGTACCAAGCAGACCGCTCGTAAGTCCACTGGCGGCAAGGCGCCGCGAAAACAGCTAGCCACTAAAGCCGCTCGCAAGAGCGCACCGGCTACTGGTGGCGTAAAGAAGCCTCATCGCTACCGGCCAGGTACTGTGGCACTGCGCGAGATCCGGCGTTACCAGAAGTCCACTGAGCTGCTCATCCGCAAATTGCCGTTCCAGCGTTTGGTGCGCGAAATCGCGCAGGATTTCAAGACCGACCTTCGTTTCCAGAGCTCTGCTGTGATGGCCCTGCAGGAAGCGTGCGAGGCCTACCTGGTGGGGCTTTTCGAAGACACCAACTTGTGTGCTATTCATGCTAAGCGTGTCACCATCATGCCTAAGGATATCCAGCTGGCACGCCGTATCCGCGGGGAGAGAGCATAGAGGTTTACTCCCTAATTCAAACATAAAAGGCTCTTCTCAGAGCCACCTACTTTATCACAAAAGGTGCTGTAGTCAATCGTTAGTAAAACTGAGGTTGAAGTTAAAATTTCACCTACTTCCCTGCATTCCTTGTGACGTAAAGTATTAACTAGCACCTTACATAGGCTTTTGGAATTTAACATCTTCAGCATTGTTTGTGTTTTACTTAAGACTTACATTTTTCCTACAGTTGGGGAGAACTTAATGGTATTTGCTCGTTTTGTGTCCCTTGCTGATGGTCATAAGTCACATACAGTTATTACCAATACTATTAGTAGCTCCTGGTAGCTTGGCTAGGGATGGTAGACTCAGATCCCACCTTAGACGTATGGTGGCAGTCTGCTTTGTACCAACCTCACTTTAGGTGATCCTTAGGAACACCAGAAGTTTATTTTGAAGTCTCATCAAGAAGAGCAGCATGCCTCAATTTACCTGGAATGATTTTACAGTTTGTTAGGTTGAAATGTTACCTAAAGCAGGTGCCGAACACAAGAACCGTTTTATTTCACTATTGGTCACTCACTGGTATTAGGTATACTGACTACACCTGTTACTTGGGTTAAGTGCCAATGAATCAGTTCCGACCATCCTTTAGTTTTCAAGGAGCTACTGGGTTTGATCCACCTACCTGTGATTAGTAGTACAGTGCTTGTTCTACAGTGGTAGGTTTTTTTTTTAAATTTATAAAAGTGCCTTTGCCTGGGGCCCATTTAAGACCAATTTAATCAATAAATGAGAATGCGCCTAGTCAATAGTAATTTTGTAAACTCGTGCTTCCAAAACACAGTTAAGGCCAAGACTTGATGCAGCATAAATTACAAACCTGCGATTCATTTGTTTGATTTCAGACTTACAATTTTTTCTAATCAAATCAGGCTTCTTGTTTGCCTTCAGAGAGAAAATATTGATCTCCCAGAGGAATCTTTAGCTTGCTTGACAACTGTTTGTCAGTACATTGAATCAAACAGCTCCTGACTTTTTTAACAGCGATTTCTGAGGGGTGAGCTAATAGAATCTACCCTGAGAGATGGAGCTGTTTTCATTGATTGACAAGCTGCAGTTAAGACTGCTACAAAGGAGGAACAGGGAGCAACATTCTGCTTTCTCCATTCCCTTTTTTTTTGGACAATGCACAATTCTCTTCTAGCTATTGTTTCTATTTTAAGATTTTATTTTAAATTATGAAACATTATGAATATTTGAAAAAAAAAAAAAAAGACAATAATATGATAAGCGGTGTGGTGCCCTAGGATAAACACTCGTCCTCAAGTTGGTTTGAACCACGAGGTTGGCAGTTCAAACGCAGCAGCCACTCCTCAAAAACCCTATACAGGGTTGCTATGAGTGGGAATCTAACCGGAACAGACTGGACTAAATTTAACAACATTTAAAAACCTAATTATAACATCATTGGAGTCCTGGTGTGGTGCTGTGGGTTAATGCAATGGACTGCAGAGTTGGTTTGAACCACAAGGTCAGCGATTCCAGCTCACTAGCTGCTCCTCACAAACCCTATACAGGGTCACTATGTGTCGGGGACCTGCCTTGACAGGGAAGTTTGGTTCACGAAGTAGGGAGATAAGGCGGCGAAAGAGATAGAGAAAGAATATACACAAAGACGCGACGAGAGAAACAAAGAGACACCCCGAGACCAGAGTGGATGCAAAACTGGCAGGCAGACCCTGGATTGCAGGCATCATGGCCCTGCAGGCAGTAATGCATGCAGGATTCAATCTGCATCCATCTTTTATTTCAGGGAGGGATTTTACACAAAGGAAGTAGGGGATTATTAAGACAGGGTACAGAAATGAAATGTGATTAATTGTTTAAAACAGGACACAATGATTTACAGGAACAAATTCTAAAATATACATCACAAATGGTCTTAATACTCTAACATCCTTAATTTTCCAAAAATTCAAGCAAATTGTTATAAATTACTTTTTAGGCTCAAATCCTAAAGCAGTGACTCGAGGTTTCTCAAGGCTAATTAACATACCTATAGCACTTAATTTCTAATGGGTAAAGGATTTAAAAGGTCTGAAGAGAGTCAAGCTGTTTCAGCTACCTGGTTTAAGCTTTAGGGAGGAAGAGGGACCTCTAGGTTAATGGATTACACCTGGGGAAGATTTGGGGAGGTTGTCACTATTATTCCTTGAACAATATTCCAGAATTCGCCAATCTACTTTGAGTGAATTCCTTGGGTAGATTGTCTCCAGAGCCTCTTTGAGGAATCCCAGCAAACCTGCCTTTGAAACTTTTACGGCCTCGCCTTTAGAAGAGGTTTTTGTTTTAATATTTGTCCATGGGTATCCAGGGCTCATGTATTAAGTTAATATCAAACATAACTGAATAATTCGATAAAGAACAGTTTGGACATGCTTGCCAGGTGGCCAGAGTTTGTTTCTCAGAGAGATTTGTTCCCAGCACCCTACGCACTGCCAACACAGTGGAGACATTAAGAGAGGCACGTAAGAAACCGTTTTCTCAGAAGCTACAATTACTGGAGTTAGAAGCATAGAATAAGACCAAAGAAAATTATTCAGAGGTAGCCCACCAGTGAGTTCGTAAAAGCCTATGAACTTGGGACGTCAGGAGGACACTTCCTTGGCCATCAGGGTCCATGTGAACCCGGGACGTCAGGAGGTCACTTCCTTGGCCCTCAGGGTCCCTGGCTAGCAATCCTGAGTGTGGCCTTCGTGTTGGATTTTCATCCATGATACAGGGCCTCAGCATCTCAGTGCTTGCTATGGGTGGGTTCGAACCGATTTGCCTGCATTTAACAACAGCAACAATAACATACCCCAACAAGCAAGTGGAGAAGGACGTCATGCTTGGTAAAATGGAGATCTGTTGTGCATAGAGTTGCTATGGGTCAGAAACAACTCAATGACAACAGAGAAACTCCTCATGAAGCTTTAAAATCAACATTGACCTATTAGGTTTTATCTATATTGCCTTCACTTCGAAGTAAATCATAAAATTTAATCTCTCAAAATTTAAATATGTCTAACATTTTGTCGCTCTGTAGAATCACTGGACTGCGAATCACAAGGTCCATAGTTAATTCCACTAGCTGCTCCTTAGAAACCATATATGGAGTTGCTATGAGTCGTACTGACTCGATGGCACTAAATGTTGCGGACCGTGTAAGACTGGTCAGAGGTTCGAGGCCCTATAGGCACGAGTGTAACAAATGAGGCCACTGGCAGTTAATGGAAAATTGCTTTCATCTTAATATTCAGTTATATATGTTAAATTAATACACGGAGCCTTTGAAAATCCACAGATAAATGTGATATTTTCCTAAAGCCGAGACTAAAGGTTGCAAGGTTAAACCTTTTTCCAAAGGATTAACTAAAAATATCTTAGCTACTTCTCGGTTCTTTGTTCTATAGACAAAGAACCCATCCTCCCTAATCCCTTTTCCAGGTGCAGCCCATTCACCTGGGCATCTTCTGCAGAACTCTCACCTTCCCCCAACTGACCTCAGGGGCTATAGATATGTTAATTGGGCCTGAGAATCCAAGTTGCTGGCCTGGGATTCAAATAAGTGAAGTACAATGTAAAGTTACCTGAATGTCTGGAAAATTACTGATGTTAGCTGTATCCTGTTTTAGTCCCTCCTAGCTTGGTGTGAAACTCCTCCCCTAAATAAAACAGAGGCCCGGGCCTCCCCAGGTGTGTATTACTGGTTGGAAGGCATGGAGTAAAGATAGCGGTGCATTACGGGTTGGAAGGCATGCATTAAAGATTGCAGGGCAGTGAGTCGCTGCCTGCAGAGGCCATGATGCCTGTAGTCCCAAGCCTGCCCACCAGTGATGTATCCACCCTGGCTTTGGGGTGCCTCATTGTCTCCCTTCTTCTGTTTGTCTGTGTATTCTTTCGCTATCCCTATCGCCGCTGGATCTCCCCTCCTCGTGAACCAAACACTCGTGAACAACACAATTATGTCGAGTCCAGTCACCGACATTTGCGTAGTAATTAAAGCACAGGTAAACATCTTTCTGATATTGTCTGCTTTCAAGCTAGAATCCATTGGACACCAACAATGTTATACCTCGTTCCACGGCCTCTTCTGAATCCAGCTTGAACCTCTGGAAGTTCTCTGTCAATGCATGTTTGTCAATTATATATGGAAACCCTATACAGGGGCCCATATGAGTTAGAACTGATTCGTCAGCACTTAACAAGAACAACAATTATACCTTACTTGTGAGATACAGAATATTAACAAAAATAGGAAAATGTAGTCTCTCAATAGGTAAAGAGATAACACATAAAAACAGACTAAGGGGAATAAGGACTATCAGTAGATGAGTGGAGGTTACTTGATATTTCAAATAAGGTGGTTGGGGAAGGCCTTACAACTGAGATAAGGCTGAGGTGAGGTTTGAAGCTTTTAAAAGAGTGAGGTCTTCAATACATTTGTGGAAGATTGTTTCACAAAGTGACAATGATTGCACAGACACCGAGTCAGGAGCATACCTAGGGTCACGGCCACACATTTGACAACCAATTAAATAAACCAAGGTCTTCTGCTATTAGTTTAAGTTGGAATTTTGAGATAGCTCAGTACTACTTTCAACATTCTTAATATTTTTCAAAATCAATACTTCAGGTCCCATAGGAGACTCAGTTAAGATGGGGATCCAGGAGGTAGGAATAGATGAGTGTTTACTTACCATACAAACAGTGGTTATTATGACTTAGGGATATAAGTAATGAAAAAGTAGTAATTATATGATGACTTAAAATAAAAAATGTGAATTCCCAAATGATAATTATCATGTTATACTTTTCAGAAAAAAGAAACTCCAAACATTATATTTGTAAAAAGGTTTTATGCACTGTAACATGTACCTTATTTAAATTTTTTTAGTGGATTCACTATAAGGAATATCTATTGAATGATTTCCTAAATACAGATAAAATCTGATTGTCAGCTGAACTCTACATTTAAACTTCCATAATGGTGATGATTTGATGAAGAAGATACATGTTCCCTCACTGCTGACCTTGATCCCTGGCTTAATTTTGGCATGGAATTGAGAGATAAATTTTCTTCAGAATCCTTCATATTGGGTGAGACTGAAGACCAAATACAGGGATTTTCAGTATGATATGTGAGCTTTCAAATATTTTCATGGTTTTCTATGTGGTGTTTGAGGGAAGACCAGGAATCTGGCATTGTTTCAGATTTGTTCAGATACATGCAACTAACTCTATGAGATTTACTGGGAGCAATGTCAATTTCCTACTGTCTCTATTTTGCTCATGAGCTTTTCTATTAATGTTCGAAAATGCAGCATATTAGCTCAAACTCTCTTGTCCTTTTAAGGAGCTAGTAGTGTAGTGGTTATGAATCAGGCTGCTAATCTCATGGTTAGCAGTTTGAAACTACCAGCTGTTCCGCGGGAGGAAGATGAGGTTTTCTGCTCAGGTAAAGATTTACAGCATGGGGTCGCTATAAGTCAGAACTGACTCCAAGGCACATAACAACAATCTTGTCCTTTTAATTACACACAGCTCTGGAAGATCTTAGGGCTGGGGACATAAATTCCATTACAGGTAGAAGCAAGTAGGGCTTCCTCTCTGCTGGTAACGCTTGAGAAACTCACCCCCTTTTGGGTTATTTTTCTGAGATAGAAAATCTTATCTTTCTTCCATTGATGGAGGGTCTTTACCTGAAGATTCATCAAAAGACTAAAAATTAGGGATCTGGACGATGCCTTGGGGAAAGCATTTTAGTTAAGATAATACTACTGATTTAAACAGGTAAATCACAGAACCTCAAAGGCTTAACACAGTACAATTCTATTTTCTGCTTATATGAGGTCCAAAATGGGAGCATGGGATCATTAGGCAACTCTTTTACAAGTAGGTTAATTTAATCAAGCGTCCTTTATTTTGTGGCTCTACCATCTAATCACATGGCTTCCACATTTGCCCTAGAAAAGTTAAGAGTTTTTTCTCTCTTAACTTTTTGTTGGCATTTAAATCCATTCTGGCTCCTAATGACCCCATATGTGGCAGAGTAGAACATGCAGGCAGGGTTTTCAGTGGTTGACTTTTTCAGATTACATAGATTTTTCTAGGCACCTGAAACCTTAACTTCTTGGATACCAGTTCAGCTCCTTAAACCTTTTGCACCGTTTCTGGACACCAGAAATATCTGATGGAAGATTAGTATGTTTCAGGCCTGAAAATGTCAAACACCTTTACTTAATATTCCATTTATGGAATTTAATCACGTCTAACTACTGCTTATCTTATTGAATTGCTATCCTGAACCCCACACTGCAGTATTTTGGTAGTGACAGTTGCTATTAAGACGGAGCAGCTGATAGTTCCCCACCTGGTGTTAAGGCTCTCTTTCAGAGTCAGTAAGTGGCTCTGAAAAGAGCCTTTGTTTTGATGCTGCTTACATATACATTCATTTGGAGCTGGTATACTTGGTTACGGCCTTGGTACCCTCCGACACAGCATGTTTGGCAAGCTCTCCAGGCAACAGCAGGCGCACAGCCGTTTGGATCTCTCGGGACGTAATGGTTGAGCGCTTGTTGTAATGCGCCAAGCGAGAAGCCTCACCAGCAATGCGTTCAAAGATGTCGTTGACGAAAGAATTCATTATACCCATAGCCTTAGATGAGATGCCAGTATCAGGGTGGACCTGCTTCAGTACCTTGTACACGTAAACAGAATAGCTTTCCTTGCGGCTGCGCTTGCGTTTCTTACCATCCTTCTTCTGCGCCTTAGTTACCGCCTTCTTAGAGCCCTTCTTCGGAGCAGGAGCTGATTTAGCTGGCTCAGGCATAACGAAAATTTCTTCGGTGTTAAAGTGAAGACTGAGATGTAATAGCTAATCTGGCCAATTTTGTACCGCTTCTATGCAAATAAGAGTGTAGTTCTTCCATCTCTGATTGGATCAAAATATACTGTTTATGCAAATGAGGCTTACTGTTTGATTGGCTGTGTAAATGGGAACCACCCTAGGTTCTGTTCTCCATTTAGCAAAAGGACACTTTCATTTTGAAAAGTTAAAAAGTTAAATTACTGTCTTGACAATAGTATCTAGTTATGAAGCCAGTTATCTTCTCCCTTCCACCTTTGTCTGGACCTAAAGAAGCACAAAAGTGATAATAAGTAATGGATAAATTACTATCAACGTATAGTTTCCAGTGCCTTAAAAAGTATCTTTGAAGAATTAAAGGAAACAGGAAATATGAAAAGCAGCTAATATTTAATGTTTTCAAACAATACCATTGACATTCGTAGTTTGGTCTGTTCAAAGACAGCGGCCAAAATTCTTAAATGCCTTCGAGTCGGTTCTTATTCATAGCAATCCTGAATAGGAATCCCGAGGAGTGGCTGGTGGATTTGAACCCTAACTTTGCGAGTAGTCCAATGCTTGTCCCACAGCGTCACACTAGGACTCCAGCAGCATTCTTACACATCCAAAAGTTGTCAAGAAGCACAGGCTCGTCGTATGAGCATTACAAAAGGGTTGTCATTTTCAAGTTCGGAGATTTAAAGCGGCAGGACGTGTACTTACTTTGCTAAAATAAAATAAGTTACCTTTCAAGGATGAAGGACAAAACTACACCAATCATGTTGAAGCGCGGGCTTCTGAAATGACAAAAAGGTTTTACATTCCTGGCCTCAGGAGCTGCAAAAACCTAATTTCTGTTGTCTTCCTAAACATTTTTTCCCCCCAGAGTTAAAAGCAAGTAGGTTAAATGAAAATCGTTTAGGATGTATGTATGACAAATCTAAATAAAGGAGAAAATCAAGCACCTTTCAATAGCCCGATTTTGGAAAGTGAGGCGTGGTAGCCAATCACAGAGCTTGTCAAGTTACTTAATTCAAGGCGCGCAGTTTGAATATTCCGTCCAATCAGGAGGACTTTGACTTTATAAATAGGAGGAAGGGTTCTCATTTCCTTCAGTACTCTGTAACCGTTCAGCTGTACTTATGGCTCGCACCAAACAGACCGCTCGCAAGTCCACCGGCGGCAAGGCGCCGCGCAAGCAACTAGCTACTAAGGCTGCTCGTAAGAGTGCGCCGGCCACAGGCGGAGTGAAGAAGCCGCATCGCTACCGGCCTGGAACAGTCGCTCTGCGTGAGATCCGGCGTTACCAGAAATCCACAGAGCTGTTGATCCGTAAGCTGCCGTTCCAGCGATTGGTGCGGGAGATCGCTCAGGACTTCAAGACCGACCTGCGCTTCCAGAGCTCGGCAGTGATGGCGTTGCAGGAAGCGTGCGAGGCCTACCTGGTGGGACTCTTTGAAGACACCAACTTGTGCGCCATCCACGCCAAGCGTGTCACCATCATGCCCAAAGACATCCAACTAGCTCGCCGTATCCGTGGTGAGCGGGCATAAACTGCTCACCTTTAAGCTACTGCTAACGTTGAAACCAAAGGCTCTTTTCAGAGCCAACCACTTTTTCTGTGGAAGATGCTGTGATAAAATTTTAACATTAACACCAAACGACCTTTTAGAGGCGTTTTAAGCATGCATCTTTTGAACTGAATAGGTGCACAAGAGTGGGTCGCGTGCCCTCAAGTTTTAATGAGGTTTATTATCTCCAGATTAAAGTAATGCTCAAAATTAATGCTAATGGGAATCTAGTAATTGCTAGAAGTGAGACGGGTGTGTGTCCTTGAGCACCTTGGGAAGTTTCAAAAGGGACACAACCCAGTATGTTCAGCACACTAGGGAATTTAGAGTTGATTTCTAGTTTATAGCTGAAAATTAATACTGTGCAGACCACATCTGGTCCCTACCTGAGAGGTAATAATGAATTGACATTTCTATAACGTTCTCAAGTCCCAAAACCACTACTATGCTTTCAAAATCTGTATGTGTAACCACTCACTGGTGTGATGGTATGTGATCAGCACTGGACTGATCCACAAGGTCGGTAGTTCAAGCAGCTGCTCCTCAGAAACCCTATATAGCATCAGTATGAACCGGAACCTTCTCCACTGCACTTGACAATCACTCATGAGTAGTCCTAGCATGGTGTAGAAGTATCAACAATGGATTGCTAACCTCAAGGTCAACCATTCAAATCCATCAGCTGCTCCTCAAAAACCCTATACAGGATCCAGTCAGAACTGACTCAACGACATTTACTAGCAATCATTCATAATAGGGATTTATAAATAAAAATATGCCTACCTTTGTGAGGTCCCATAATAGGAACTATAAATCATAAGAAATGTAGTTTGAAAAATTCTCAATTTAGAAACAGAAGCATGTAAATTATGTAACGAATGTAAGCAACTTTTAAATTGACTCTGCTCTGACATGCTGTGATAAATTATTTTTAAAACTAGCATTTAAATCTAAAAACATCATTAACTTGAATAAAAGATGTGTCATTTAGCTCATCTCTATTCCTAGAAAAAAGACCCTCAAGTCCAAAGTGAATATTTCACATGAATCCTGAATTTCTGCTCACTCAAGAAGAAAATGATGAGGCAAAGCTATTTCTCTCTAGTCTCTTGTTTTCTCTAAAGATAGAAAGCTGTGGAGATCCTGCCCACCACCACTCCTAGGACTCTAGCTATAGAGAACCTCCACTTAGATGAAGCTGTGGTTAAGCTTCCTCCTCTTGTTAAAGGTGTAAGTTTTAATGAGGCAGTTTATTATCGCCAGACTACAGAAACAATAATGCTCAAAATTAATGCTAATACTGAGAATCTAGTAATTGCCAGAAGTGAGACAGTGTGTCCTTGAGCAACTGGGGAAGTTTGTAAAGGGACACAACACAATATGTTTATGTTCAGCACACTAGGAATTAGAGTTGAATTTAAAGCTATAAGTCTCAGATTTGCATTAGTTAATTCTCATTCTCTCACTGTAAATGAAGGTTGTGAGGTCTTACTTGCATACCTGGCTATGACTACTTTGCAACAAATGAAATGAGTTTATGCATGATAAACCTGAGTATCTATTCATTATTTTAGAGAAAATCCTTCACAAGAAGCATCATTAAATCATTTAGTCATTAAATCAGAACCCAGATCTTGTTACATAGATGATGCTGAATAGTATTTATTGGAAATCCTCAACTGCAAGGAAAAGAGACAAAAGTTCTCAATAATTTTCCTTTTAACAAACACAAACCCCTAAAACACACCCTATATCTATGTAGACTTTGTAGATACAGTATTGTTAAATGCCTTTGAGTCCGTTTCAACCCATAGCGACCCTGTATAGGGTTTCTGAGGAGCAGCTCGTGAGCTTGAACTGCTGACTTTCCAGTTCAAACGGCTAAGCGCTTTAACTCACAGTGCCTCACCAGGACTCCATTGTAGATACAGTTGTTATGCCGTAGAGTTGGTTCGGACTCATAGCTATCCTGTACAGAGTTTACGAGGCTGTAATCTTTACGGGAGCAGAAAGCCTCTTCTTTCTCCCGTGCAACAGCTGGTAGTTTCGAACTGCTGACGTTGCGGTTCACAGCCCGATTTGTAACCGCTGTTACCAGAGCTCCTTGCGTAAGGTTCCAACTTATATCGACCATGTGTAGTGTTTCCAAGGCTGTACATCTTTTCAGGAGCAGAAAATCTCATCTTCCCACACACCCCTCCGCAAAGTCCCCACTTCACAGTCCTAGTTTATCATACAGAGCCACTGCACTCCCAACAAATACTGTTATTGTCAGATGCCATAGAGTTGATTTCAACTCATAACAACCTAATACAGGGCCTCTGAGGAGCAGTTGGTGGTTTTGAACCCCCAACTACAAACTGTTGCTGTTGTTAAGTGGCATCCAGTCAGTTCCAACTCATAGTGACTCTGTAAAGGGTTTCCCAGGAGCACCTGGTGGATTAGAAAAGCCAAATTTGTGGTTCAAACTGATTTGCTTTCCGGTACTTTATGGCATAGCACCACACCAGGACTCACAAATACTGTTTGTTTGTTTTTTTGTCTTTGCTATTTGCTGTCCAGTCAGATCTGACTCATAGCGACCTTGTATGTTGTTAAGTGCCATGGAGTCGATTCCCACCCATTCTGTATCTACCTGTAATTCTCAGGTAGGTATAGAATTCAGAAGTCAAATTTCAACAAAAGTAAAACAACTCAGTGCCATCAGATAATTATACTTTAAAGCAAACTTGCAAGCACTAATAAACAACACAAGTTGATTTCAGAGTTACCACTGAAAGTTATTGGATTACAGCACTCAAAAGAGCATTGTTAAGTCTTTTTTTCAAATGTAATTTTGAGGTGGAATGATAGAAAGACAAAACCAAATCAAACCGAACTAAAGCTAGGGCAAGACACAAGAAAATAGTATTTGTTCATTGCAACTTTGTATATTATAACCCCAAACTGAAAAGGTTGTCGTTAAGTCTAGTTGGTTCTGACTCATAGTAGCCCTTAACAGGGGTTCCAAGGCTCTAAATCTTTGCCTGAGCAAAGATTCATTCGTGAGGTCCCAGTTGTTAAGTGTCTTGTGAGTCAGTTTTATGTCTATAGTGATCCTGCATAGGGTTTCTGAGAAGCAATTGGTGAGCTGGAACCACAGGCCTTGTGATTCAAACGGTCTTTGCACTCCAGTGCATTGACCCACAGTACCACAGCTTTGCAAACACTATGGAACAATTCTACTCTGTCATATGGATTGCTATGGGTTGGAAGTAACACTATGACAATATATTTAATTTTCATAGCTCTCCAGTCCTTTCTTCTGTGGTGCCACTTAACAGGTTCTCATACATGGGATAAAAAATTACATGTAAGTGTACACACAAACACACATACACCAAGTATATATAAAAATTATTGAAAGCTTAGTTTTCTAGTAAAAGTATTTTGCAAGATCAATTTCCTGGTTTTGATATTGTATAGCTATATGAGATCATCACTTAATCCACTACCATTGAGTCTTTTCTGACTCTTATTACTCTGAAGTGTCACAGCAACTCCAAGTCTGTTTTTGAAGAAACCGAGACCACTTGGAGGGATGAAGCACAGTTTTTATTAAACCTGCTGACTCAAAGGAACTAACTTCCAGATTTCTCCGCCCCTCGTCGCAGAGCGCAGGCAGGGCAGTACAGGGAAGGGCTAGGTTGCGGACCTGTTTGAGAAAACCTGGGAAACCAGAGGATTGGTCCGCCTCGGTAACCTGATTAACATTCTATTTTGTCTCCTGGGCGGGGAGGATTGGTCCCACTCAGTAACCTTTTTAACGTTCTAACTTGTCTGCTGGGAAGGGAGGAGAAGGCAGTTAATGTTTTACCTTTCCTGTTCAATAGTGGGTTTCCTAGGCTGTTAACTCTTTAAAGCAGTGAAAGCCTTACCTTTCTCTGGACCATGTGGTTAGAAATCCAGTGTTTATCCAGTTTATTCCATAGCACCACCAGTGCTGGCCTCAAAAGTAAATTTAGTTTTAAAAATTTGAGATCTGTAATCTCCAATTTTGATAGGGTACTTGACTGTGATAATCCATGGATTTTAGGACAATCTATTTGCTTTCTGGTAGCGTAGTGGTTACGAATCGGGCTGCGAACCTTAAGGTCAGCGGTTCGAAACTACCAGCTGCTCCGCGGGATAAAGATGAGGCTTTATACTCCCGTAAAGATTTACACCCTCGGAAACCCTGTAGAGGGTTTCGGAACCGACTCGACGGCACTTAACAACAACAACAATTTGCTGTCTAGTCGATTCCAACTCAATCATCCTGTATAGGATTTCCTAGGTGTGATTGGAGGGTTTGAACTTCCAACCTTGTGTTTAGCAGTCCGGTGCTTATGCTACATCACACACCAGGACTTCTGTATATGTTTAACAAGTAATAACAGTCACCATTATTTGAAAGTTATATTGTATTTTAGGTACATTTATCTTTTCCTAATGCTTCCATGCCGAGTTCTGGTGTGGTACTATATGTTAATGCAGTGGACTACAATGTTGGTCTGAACCGCAAGATTGGCGGTTCAAGCTCACCAGCCACTCTGGAAACCTTATACAGGGTCGCTATGGGTCGGTTCTGACTTGACGGTACATACCAACAACAATGATTCCATGCAAGCAGATCAACAAATATTTTTAATTTGAATTTTTATTAAAAAATTAATAATGATTGCGATATAATTTTTCGTAATTGCTCATAATCCCCTTGTGTATCTTCAGAGTTATGTTTGAGTTCCAGACACCAAACACAGGAAAAGAAAAGCACCTCCCTCTCTCAACAGTCTCGCTGTGAGGAGGGGCGGGGACTCAGGGCTGGTGTCTGTCCTTTCAGTTCCCAACAAGGTCCGCTAAGTTGATTTATAGGGGCTGCAGTGGCCCTTCAGGTCACAAAATCACTGCAGTCTTTAACATAGTCATTATGTCGGGACGTGGTAAGGGTGGGAAAGGTCTTGGTAAAGGAGGAGCAAAGCGGCACCGAAAGGTTCTGCGTGACAATATCCAGGGTATCACTAAACCTGCCATCCGGCGTTTGGCTCGGCGTGGTGGGGTCAAGCGTATTTCAGGTCTCATCTACGAGGAGACTCGCGGGGTGCTCAAGGTATTTCTGGAGAATGTGATCCGCGACGCTGTCACCTACACTGAGCACGCCAAGCGCAAGACTGTCACTGCTATGGACGTGGTCTATGCACTTAAACGCCAGGGTCGCACGCTTTATGGCTTTGGTGGTTAGGACTATGCTTATCAGCTAACTCTTAAGGACGTGAAAGGCCCTTTTTAGGGCCACTTTACTTTTTTCATCTAAAGAGCTCACACTTCATGAGACACTGAATCGTGCTGCTGTGTGGGAGAAACTTGTAAGTGAAATATGTGAACTATGGAAGTGAATCTTGGTGTGGTTCTTACGGTTTCCACGTTGCAGTTTTATAAAGGTGTTGAAACCTAGGCATTCTAGTCCCAAAGGGTCCTGAGTTTAAGACAGGTCATATGGAATTTCTCAGAATATGCACTTAGTTTGCATACTAGTTCTATAAGTACTAGTTTTATAAGTATTATAAATGGGAGTGATTTGTGCAAAATTAATGGCCTTATTCAATTCACTGATTCAGCCATTACAAACATTTGAGTGAATCAGTATATTTAAGTTTGAGCACTAAGATGTGCCTGACACTGATATTCTCAATAACATCATACGCATGTGAAAGTTGGATAGTGAATAAGGAAGACCATAGAACTGATGCATTTGTTTTGGTGCTGAAGGAGTATATTGAAAGTATCATGGGCTGCCAAAAGAACAGATAGGTCTGTATTGAAAGAATATAGCCAGAGTTCTCCTTGGAAGCCAGGAGGACTAGATGTCTTTCATACTTCTGGGCATATTTTTAGGAGGGACCAGTCACTGGAGAAAGATATGTTTGGTAAGTGGAGGGTCGGAGAAAAATAGGAAGGCCTGACGGAGATGTATTGGTACAGTGGCAGCATCAATGGTCTCAAACATAACAAGGATTGTGAGGTTGGCCCAGGATCAGGCAGTGTTTTGTTCTGTTGTACATAGGGTTATGACAAGTCGGTACCAACTCGATGGCTTGTGGCACTTCAGGATAAAATCTGGACCACATGGTCAGTTTGAAGTGCAAGGATGGCAATTCAAACTCACCAGCAGCTCTGAAACCCTATCGATTTGATGACACTTAACAACATGCAATTATTGTATAGGTCCTGAATATGCCAAAATGTGTATCAAATTCTCAAAAATTTTATACTTTACAGAGAAAAACAACTATTACTCTTCACGATTGTGTAAGAACTCTGAAGTTACATAAGTAACTCTGAAGTTGGGTTTTGTGGAATGCCAGGGAATATTCCTGACTGATTTTGCCTGGAAGAATTGGGTAAAATTCCTTTGAAGGGAACCCTTGAAGGAGGCAGAGGAGTTGAAGACTATTTGTGGAAGGAAGAACATTCTATGTAAAGGATTAAATCGATTGCCATCACTGGTTAGTAGCCCAGCTGCTAACTCCTGCGACACCAGGGATCCTGTTGACAAAAACAAAAAAAACAAAAAAGAAACAAAAACCAAGCATGACAAACTGTTCAATACATTCACAGCTGTAAAAGTGATTGTTGGGGGAAGGGAGTTGAAGATGAAATTGTGCAGTTATAGGGTAAAGCAAAGGAAATGGGAGTTTTCTACTGCAGATCTTAAGAAAACCAGTATTAAAGTCAGTTTTAGCTTCATCTTATATTACTTTATGTGGAGTTCTGGTGTGTTGCTGTCAGATAAGCGATGGACTGCAAAGTCGATTTGAACCCCAAGGTTGGTGATTTAAACCCACTAGCTGTTCTTTGGAAACCCTATACAGGGCTCTCCCGAGTTGGAACTAACTCGTCAGCACTTCACATTATGTATTCTTCAATATATAGGATAAGATATACCACGTTGTTCGGATCTCTTGATTGCAATTTCCCATCCTTTTAACGTTTATTAGCAAATAGTCGATAACAGCAATACACACGATAGATACTATGTACACTCCCTGTCTGAGGCTAGGTTTGTAACCATAACTAGATCACTAGGTAGTTAGCTGTGTAGACTTTTGGGGTGAAAAAAAGAACCAAACCTACAATATATCCTATAGAAGAGTAGAACTTAAAGTTTCTAAAGGTATGATCTTTTACAGAAGCTGACTGCCACATCTTTCCTCCAAAAGATGTTGGAGGATTTTAACTACCGGCCTTTACTCTCCTGCTAGTTGCTCTAACGGTGGAACATCAGGAATACTTGTATGACAGGAAGGTCGGTAAGCATATTTCTCAAAGTAGGGACGTTCAATCGTTTAGGGTATTGGTATGCTTTCATCCCACCTTTGCTTTGTTCTTTTGAATTCCGAGAGCCGCCATTTTAGGAAATGATCGCCACCATTTCACAAGTGCCATCTCCTACATCGCCGGCAGAATACATTTGAATTTAGAAACCTAACAGTTATTTAAAACTGTGAACAGACAACTTTTAACGAATAAACCCAACATACAATACCAACAATTGTTACCTGGTAAATTGACTGCGGTTACGGCGCTTTTGCGTCTTTTGTGGGTGGCCCTGAAAAGGGCCTTTGGTAAGCATCGAAAATATAGATCAGAGTTGCACGGTTAGCCGCCAAAACCGTAAAGAGTGCGGCCCTGGCGTTTAAGCGCGTAGACTACATCCATGGCGGTAACAGTCTTGCGCTTGGCGTGCTCGGTATAAGTCACGGCGTCGCGAATCACGTTCTCCAGAAACACCTTAAGTACTCCCCTAGTTTCCTCGTAAATGAGACCAGATATGCGCTTAACTCCTCCACGCCGAGCCAGGCGACGAATCGCAGGCTTAGTGATGCCTTGGATGTTATCGCGAAGGACTTTGCGATGGCGCTTGGCGCCACCTTTGCCCAGGCCTTTCCCTCCTTTACCACGTCCAGACATTGCGAACAAGAGCTGTTCTGCTGCAATGGTGAACCAACGAAAGTCTGCAGTCCTTTATATTTCAATTATGCGGACCTTTTAGGAAACTGAAAATGCGGGGGCGGGAACAAAAGCTGTGTCTCCGCCTCTCTCTTACACCATGAGTCATCTCCTGTCAAAGCTTAGTTTGGGGAAGGAGGAGGGGAAATGCGTTTTTTTCTGAGCCCTTTCCATATTTGGGCCCCGCGTCGGTTGTCTTTTCTGAGGCTTCATGTTCTGTGTTTCTGATAATTTGTACGTGTTCTAACCACTTTTATCACACGTAAAAACGGGGAAGAGAAACTTATCTCAGTCTATAAAAGGGAGACATTTCAGCTTGTAATTAACTTTAAAGTAAGTTCTTAAAGAAACGCACTATTCTTAATTTCGACTCTGTCTACACTCATTAAATTTGCCAGATCTCGTTTTACAGACCAATTATACATCAGCATTCTGCGACAAAGAGGGAGCCCCAGGAAGCAGAGCTAATAACTGAATTTCCACTCTTACTAAGTTTTTAAACCATTGTCACTGCAATTTCAAACACACTACTAGTCGCTCAGCAGGTTTTTGCTCCCATAAAGATTTACAACCTCGGAAACCCTATAAATAGGGCCACTATGAGTCGCAATCCACTCCTGATAGTCGCTAATAATGTAGAGCAAGGAGCTCTGGTAGCATAGTGATTACGAATCGGCTGCGAACGTTAAGGTCAGCAGTTCGAAACTACCAGCTGTTCTGTGGGAGAAAGATGAGACTTTCTGCTCCCGTAAAGATTTACAGACTCGGAAACCCTGTACAGGGTCGCTATGAATCGGAACCGACTCCACGGCACACAACAATAACAACAACAGTGTAGAGCTGCTTCCCTAGGGTTTATGAAGCTGCAAATCTGTATGGGCCAGACTACCTCATCTTTCTCCCCTAGAGGCTGGTACATTTGAACTGCCGAGCTTTCATGTAGCCCTCAAAATCAAGCGGTTTGGGTTTTTACATGCTGAGAATGGTGTACAAACACAATCATTCTGTAAAAATAAAACAAAAACCTCAACAACTAGTAGAAAAGTTAACTCAGGGGGAGGGATCAGACACAGACCAGCAACTAGTTACCAATAAATCGCTGTAAATCTTTACGGGAGTAGAAATCTTCATCTTTTTCCCAATGAACCGGTGGTAGTTCCCTAATGCTGACCATAAGATTAGCAGCCCCATTCATAACCACTAAATTACCGGAGTTTAGTACAGACGGAATTAAGTGCACTAGGAGTATCCCAGTATTATTGGTATCACCTGGGAATTTGCTAGCTGCAGATTTTCAGGCTTTAGCCCAAATCTGGAGTCCTGATGTGGAGCTTTGGGTTAATGCGCTGGACTGCAAAGTCTGTTGTAACTGCAAGGTCGGCCGTTCAAGTTCACCAGCCGCTCCTTGAAAACCCTAGACAGGGTTGCTATGGGTCGGAACCAACTCCATGGCACACAATAATAACAGCCCAAATCTAATGAACTGTTGCTGTGTTTTTAACAAAATCTTAAAGTAAATATAAGTTTATTTCAGTTTGAGTTGTTCTAAAGCTACATTGTTCAATATCAGTCATTAGTCATATATACTAATTTAACTTGTAAATGAAAAAAATTAAATGTAATTAAAAGTTAATTTTTTTCACCCTGTCCACACTTAAGTTCTCAATAGCCACATCGAGCTGTCATTGTTAGTTGCCATCAAGTGGATTCCAATTTATGGGTATATTGTTATTGTTAAGTGTTGTCAAGTAGCTTGGACCCATAGCGACCTTGTATAGGGTTTCCAAGGAGTGTCTGGTGAGCTTGAACCACCGACCTTGTGGTTCAAACAACTTTGCAGTCCAGCCAATAGCTCCACCAGGACTTGTTATGGGGTTTAGAGTGTAGCATTTCTTCATAGAGTTTTCGAACTTGTGGCAGCCTTTCAGAACCAGATTGCTAGGTTTTTTTAGCGAGGTGTCTTTGGGTGGGCTCAAACTGTTGTTGTTGTTAAGTGCCATCGAGTCGGTTCCGACCCATAGCGACCCTGTACAACAGGGTTTCCGAGGGTGTAAATCTTTACGGGAGTAGAAAGCCTCATCTTTCTCCCGCGGAGTGGCTGGTAGTTTCGAACCGCTGACCTTAAGGTTCGCAGCCCGATTCGTAACCACTACGCTACCAGAGCTCCTCTCAAACTACCAACCTTGTAAATGGCTCAAGCCTTGGGCATTTTACTATTATAGTATGCATGCAGAGTGAATGTTCAAAACATAAAACTTTTTTTTTTTTTTTTAATCTGGTTACCAAGTACCTAGTGAAAATTTCTTGACCTAATTTATTTTTTATTCATGGGAGTAATTCCATATTTAGGAAACTTGTCCATGTTACAGGCACAGAGAGGACAGAGAACTGTGTCCCAAGCAATAAAACAACAATGACTATACGCAGCATCGCACTCTCTTTTTTTTATTTAGAGAACTCAAGTGAAATCAAGTCTCCATCATTGCTGGAAGACCAGAGATTATTTACAACCATGGAAGGAAATGAACCTTAGCCTAATATTTTCTCACTGAAGTGGAACCTATTTAGGAACCATGCAAACCAGCTGTTGTTGTTGTTGAGTTCCATTGAGTTGGTTCTCATGCACAATCACCCTGTACAGGGTTTACAAGGAGTGGCTGGTGGGTTTGAACCACTGTCCTTGTCGTTAGCAGATAATGACATCCTTTTCCCAGACATTTCATATAATATCTCTCTACTGAGAAACAGTGCTACAGATCCAATCCTATAACATTGGTGATGGTGGTTATGTGCTGTGGAGTCGGTTCCGACTCATAGCGACCCTGTATAGAGTTTCCAAGGCTATAAATCTTTACTCCCTAATTAATAGGACTTATAGTTTCTTTTTGGCACAGAACATGGTTTTAAATCCTAAAGACTTGGTTTTCAGTCTATGAAGTCATTCTGTGGTCTTCAAAGAGTTCCTGAAATAAATGGAATTGAAAGAAATGGATTTTTCTCCAGGAACTTTTAGAAGCTCCCTTGTATGTCTGTATATATACCAAACCCAACACACTGCCATAGAGTGTAATGGGACTCATAGTGACCCTGTGTAGTCAAAGGCTGTACCACAATCTTTACAGAAGCAGAAAGCCTCATCTTTCTCCCACAGAGTAGTTGGAAGTTAGCAGTCCAGTCTTTATAAATAGTTAAGCGTCATGAAATAACATGGTTAACATTGATTAATGCATCTTGTATTTATATCAGAAAATCCTTGAATAACTTGATGTTTGGAAACAGGATTATCTACTGTTAATATGAAATGTTTTTCTCATTTTTTTACTTAAATTAATGTGAATTAATTTCAGTATCTGCTTATTTTGTGGAGATTATTAATTTTGTGCTTCATTATCAAATATTTACCCAATTTCTCCAGCTCAGTTGCATCATGAACTGAAACAAAAGTAGGAAGATCACTTACTTAGTTTTGTGTTGGAATGTTTATTCAGTGGTCCCCAGATAGACACATTAGTTAATTTAATTGTGAAAAGTAATTCATATTTTAGGAGTTCATATTTGTTAGTAAAAAATCCAGTGATTATTATGAAAATTCAGTAAGTAATTTAAGTGAGAAATTGCCTCTTTGTAATAATTCTGTGTTCATATTTGCAATGTTGGTGTTCTGGTGTGGAGCTATAAGATATGCACTCGACTGCTAACATAAAGGTCAGTGGCTCCAACTTCCTAGCAGCTCCTTGGAAGCCCTATATAGGCTCTTTGGAACAGACTAGATGGCACTTTAACATTTGCAATGCTGAAAACAAAAAGTCAAATTAGTTTTAAATATAATTTTCAAATACAAGAAATAAAGTTATCAATATTAACAAAATGATTGTAAATATTGGAGAAAAAATCTTATAGTTTAAACTGTCTTATCAAATCAGTCACAATTTTAAAGACAGGACATAAACACATAGACTGTCACATTGCTCTTCAGCTCACAGTTGGCAAAATGGACAGACACGTTGTTGCATCATTTCAGAATTCATTTTCTTTTTTTGTGGATATGGTGCTTAATGTGTAATATCGATTCTATGTCTGATAAATCTAGGATACTAATTTTTTAGAAGAAATTGGAGACTTTATTTACACCAGTTTATCAAGAGACATTTGGAGTAGCCCCATGCCCATCCTTTCTAAAGTGTTTTAAACACCGAAAACACAGAGTTCAAGCCCAGCTTAAATACTGATTACTCTAATATTTTAAATAAATGATGAATTTGAAAATAACCATTCCTCTTGTGCATAAAATCTTTTACCCCAGTGCCAATTCCTAGAGCTTGGTGCAAACACCTCGCCAGAGAGCCTGTGTTATTGCTCCCGAGAAGAAACGGATTTTCCTTACACATTTTAGCAAAACTGTGTTTATTTATATACAGATGAGAAGAAAAGAATGCGTACAACAAGATCTTGGAAGAAAACATTACAAACGCAACGTGGGGAAATAGAATTTTTAAGGAAAACCTGAAAGTTGTCTCAAACTGACCTAAGTTTTGAAGACAGTTAGGGGAATCAGGAAAGTTTCAGGGTGCAGGTTTTGAAACTTGGTCTAGCAAAAAAGGTAGGAATGAAGCCTGAGGCCTCTCGGATCAGTTTCCCCAAAATTCCTAATGACTTCGTGCCCAGATTTCTTATATTTTTCTTCTTTTTTAAGGGGCAAGAAACACAGCCACGCAGCAGAGCGGAGGAGTCCTGCTCCAGCAGCGCGGCGCGCCGAGCAGGGAACCAATCATCACTCAGCTTCTCTCTATATAAACCCCCAGCCTCCGGCCCTGGGAACACGCCGTTCTGACAGTTGAGTTTAGTTTTTGGCTTTACAGGCAAAACAAAAACATGTCGGAGACCGCTCCAGTTGCTCCTGTTGCTCCCGCACCTGCAGAGAAAACACCTGTTAAGAAGAAGACAAAGAAGACGGGCGCAGCTGCCGGCAAGCGCAAAGCGTCTGGGCCCCCCGTGTCCGAACTCATCACCAAGGCGGTGGCCGCCTCCAAGGAGCGTAGCGGAGTGTCCCTGGCCGCGCTCAAGAAGGCGCTGGCGGCTGCTGGCTATGATGTGGAGAAAAACAACAGCCGCATCAAGTTGGGCCTTAAAAGCCTGGTGAATAAGGGCACCCTGGTGCAGACCAAGGGTACTGGCGCCTCGGGCTCCTTCAAGCTTAACAAGAAGGCGGCCTCTGGGGAAGCCAAACCCAAAGCCAAGAAAGCAGGCGCTACCAAGGGTAAGAAGCCGGCCGGCGCGAAGAAGCCCAAGAAGGCGGCGGGTACCCCCAAGAAGAGCGCCAAGAAGACCCCGAAGAAGGCCAAGAAGCCGGCTGCGGCTGCTGGGGTTAAGAAAGCGGCCAAAAGCCCAAAGAAAGTGAAAGCGGCTAAGCCCAAGAAAACAGCCAAGAGCCCGGCTAAGCCCAAGGCTCCTAAACCGAAGGCGGCCAAGCCGAAATCAGCCAAGCCGAAGGCTACAAAGGCAAAGAAGGCGGCGCCCAAGAAGAAGTAAAAAATGGAGGGTTCTCCCTGCTTTTTAAACCTCAAAGGCTCTTTTCAGAGCCACCCACAAATTTCAACCAAAAGAGCTGAGCCATTGTTCCATACTTTTATGCGCAATAAATCTTACAGCAAGCCATATTAAAATTTTGTATTAAAAGAATACGTGTTCTACTTCAAAAATTCCCGCCCTGGTATGATTGGCCCGCCTGGTCGACCGCCACCGCCTACCCCTACTGCGCAAGTCACGCGCCAGATTGACGTTTCCGTGAGTTGAGGGAATCGGCTACCGAGCTTTTTGGGTTATCCTAATTTGTTGGGATAGTGGTTTAGGGTTGCATAGTCAAGGTGTGGCGTGTCGCCATCATGAGTCGGAACAGAATTGACAGTACTTAGCAGAAGGATTCAAGCTCGTTCGGATACGGCCCGGATGTTGGTCTGGACACCACCCCACGCAATGGTGAATTTTGCCCAGGCTCATTAAGATAGCCGACCACAGGTGACGAGTGATGATGCGCATTTTGCTGTCGCGCACCACTTTGTCCGCCGGCTCCAGGATCTCGGCCGTTAGGTACTCCAACACAGTGGCCAAGCCCCGGGCGCTCGGAGTAAGCGGTGCGGTGCACTGGCTCACCGGGAACTGCAGGCTCGCACAAGAAAAGCGAATCTTGGCGTTGACTAACAATTTGCCTGTTTACTTAAGCCAGATATTAGACAAAAAAGGGGCAGCTAATTTTTCCAAGCCATACACAGAAGATGTTATAGTCTTTGGCTGGTTCATAAAATCTGTTTTCCTATAGGTTAGAGTTGGTTGAGAGTCAGCCAATGCATGCCTCTGGACATGTTTGCATGGGTTCTAAGATAAAATACTGCACCAATCACAGGTTTAGATATTAGAATTCGTATATGTTGTAAAGCAGTAGAAAAAGCCTGCTCGCCCTCCCTGGTTAGTGGATGGATCCTTTTTGATGGGTTGTTGTCATTCTACCTAAATCCACATCACTATTGCTATCACTTAGTGTGAAATGATTGTTATTGTTGCTAAGTACCATCGAGTTGGTTCCGACTCATAGCGACACTGTCTAGGATTTCCAAGGAGCAGCTGGTGGATTTGAACAGCTGGCTTTGTAGTTTGCAGTCCTGTGCTGATCCTACAGCTACACCAGGAGTACTGTGTTAAATGAAAATACATGGAAAAGGTGTCTGGTAATTTGATAGAATCTCTCCCCTTCTTTCCCAAGCTCTTACTCCATAGCTTGTTGATACTGTCTGGGAAGCCATGGCTGGCTGTCCAAGATCTTCCAGGCAAGAGAGAAGGAAAACAAAAGAAAACCAAACCTTTTGGGGGATTACATGATTAGTGAGGGATCTCCTGAAGATGAAGGTGTTAAAATAAAATCCCTAGGCCCAGGAGCTGAGAATTCTAACAAACGATTCCAAAAGGGTTCAAAGGTGAAGAAATGGACTTGTCTGGAGCTGGCCTCCTCATTTGGGCTACAGATAAAATTGACAGGTTAAGTAGGAACTTTGGTTAGATAAAATTTAGATTTATAATTAAATGAGCTTTCTTTGTTTCTCTTATAGATCAAAACATCCCTCCCCTTAGAAATGGAATGTGTACAAAACATATATAAATTTATACCCACCCTATATATACTCATGTGCTTGTTGTTAGTGCCATCAAGTCAGTTCAGATTCATAGCAACCCTGTATAGGGTTTCTAAAGAGCAGCTGGTGGATTTGAACCACTAACCTTGCAGTTAGTAGTCCAGTGCTTATCCTACAGCACTATACCAGAACTCCTCTGTTTAATCAGATAAATTTGAAGTGCAAATTTATGGAATGCTGAAACTCAGTCTGTTTCCCATGTATGAATAAGAGACTACTTAAACTCTTCTATTTCTTCACTTGGCATGACTGAATTGTATTGAGTTGCACTGGGCAGGATCCCACATTCAGGTAACAATGAATTCAGTTAACATGGCAACAAAAATGAGCTGTATGAAGATGGGTTAACTTGGATGTCCCATGTCCATTTCACATTTCATCCCTAGGGTTGAGGTTTTAAAATTGGTTTTCCTTTTAATATTGGGATACCCCAATTCCACTAACAAAATCTTTATGGGAACTGTTAATCTAGAAGGATAGGAATTACATTTTTATTTTCACAAACTGTGAAATCAATTTAGCATTTCATTCAATCACAGACAACTAATCTCCATGGATTTAGCAGTACCTGTGACTTTTAGGAGGATCAATGATGGTGCATTGGTTAAGCACTTTGTTGCTAATGGAAAGGTTGAATTCACCAGCAACTCCAAGGGACAAAGATGTGACACTTTGTTTCCATAAATATTACAGTCTTGGATACCCTATACGGCAGTTCTACTCTGTTCTGTATGGTTACTATGAGTTGGAATCGACTCAGTAATCAGTTGCATTTATTGTAAATATTTGGAAATATAGTTTACACTCACTGTGAGTCCTTAAACTGGCATCCATTACTAACCTGCTGCTAGACCTTGTTAAAGGAGCTCTGGTAGCGTAGTGGTTACGAACTGGGCTGTGAACTGCAAGGTCAGCAGTTCGAAACTACCAGCTGTTCCGTGGGAGAAAGATGAGGCTTTCTGCTCCTGTAAAGATTTATAGCCTCGGAAACCCTGTACAGGGTCGCTATGACTCTACAACACATAACCACCACCACCACCACCAGACCTTGTTAAGGAACTCTTGTAGTATAGTGGTTACGAGTCAGGCTGCAAACCTCAAGGTCAGCAGTTCAAAATTACCAGCTGTTCCTTGGAAGAAAGGTGAGGCTTTCTACTCCCGTAAAGATTTACAGCCTTGGAAACCCTATATAGGGTCACTATGAGTCAGAACTGACTCCATGGCACACTACCATATCTTGTTATTTAATGTTTTGCTGAACAAGTACACATATCACTATATATATTCATTTAATTTTTGAAAATACATTTGAGTAATGTTGGGGGCAGTGCTGTTTCCATGGTGGAATTCTCACCTCAGACGTGGGAAACCTAGGGGAATGCATATGATGCACTGTCACTACCAATCTGTCATGTTGCTATGGTGGCAATAGGTTACAGTGGAGTTACCAGATTAAGGCAGACTAGGATGAAAGACCTGACAATCTGCTTCTGAAAAATCAGCCAATGAAAGTACTCTGGAATCCAAAAGTCCGATCCCATTGTACATGGGTCTTCGTCAATTGGGCTGACTGATGACAGCTAAGAAGAAGAATATTGATTGTAATGTTGCTACCTTTCTTATGAGATACATTTTAAGTATCTAAAAATATGACTTTTAAGGTGTCGATATCCTGGTGTGGAGTCCTGGTATGGCACTGTAGGATCAGCACTGGACTGCTAACCACAAGGTTTGGCCAACTGCTCCTTGGAAACCCTATCAGGGTTGCTATGCGTTAGAACTGACTCATGGCACTTAACAGCATGACACTTAACAACACTTAACAATGTGTTCTGGTGTGGCACTGTAGGATAAGCACTGGACCTCAAGGTAGATTTGAATAGCAAGATTGGTGGTTCAAACTCACCAGCAGCTTCTTAAAAACCATATACAGGATCACTATGAGTCGGAACTGACTCTACAGTATGTAACAACAACAGCATTAACAGTAACAATGTTTTCCCAAACAATACAGGGTTCACAGCACAAGACAAGTCATAAACTCCTGAGCATGTCTTTAGTGTGACAAGCGCCCATAAATCCCTCCTGACTAAAATGTCTACTGACCCTATTTCTCTGTTTATAGAACTCCCTGGCCTGACTGGTTTATTGTTCATTATATTTTACATCTATTTAAACGTCCAAATAAAGGAACATAGCTTATGAGTATTTTTTTAGTTCTTCCAAGTAGGAATTCTAAGTTTTTGAATCGCAGTTTTAGTCCCTACTTTCCTCTTTATTTAGAAAATCAAAAATCCTACTCCCTCCTTCTTTTTAAACCTTTAATTGTGAATTAAGTGAAAGTTTACAGAACAGATCATCAATTCCACATGCAACAAATTATCTGCTTCCTGTTGTTACACTGTTTGCAATCCACTCCAATTACCTTCAGTTAACAGTATTTACTTCTAGTCACTTTTTTTCCTCTCCCTTATACTCTCCTATACTGGAGTCCTGGTGTGGCACTGTGGGTGAATGTACCAGAATGTAAAGCCATTTGAACTGTAAGGTCAGAGCTTCAAGTTCACCAGCTGCTCCTCAGAAACCCTATACAGGGTCACTATGGGTTGGAACTTACTCGATGACTCTTAAAAACAACAACAACACTCCTTACCAGTCCTGTAGCTATCACATAATGTTTCATTGAACAGGAAAATCTTTTCTTAACTTTTTACAACAATGGCCTCATACATTATTTGTCCTGTTGTAAACTAAGCATACGGTCCTCCAGGTTCATTCATGTTGTGAGTTATTTTTCAATTCTTTGTTATTCTTCAATGTCGCATAATATTCCATTGTGTGTGTATATCAAAGTTTCTTAAACCATTCTTTTGTTGATGGGTATTGAGGCTTTCTCCATCTGTTTGCTATTGTAACTAGTGCTGCAATGAACATGGGTACGCATAGAGCTAGTCATGCCACAGATCTTATTCTTGAGGATAGATACAAAATAGGGGGGTCGATGGGTCATATGGCATTTTGTTGGGGACCGCAAAGCACTGAGATGTTGAGGCCCTGTGTCATGGACGAAAATCCTACACGATGGCCACACTCAGGATGGCTAGCCAGGGACCCTGAGGGCCAAAGGAAGTGTCCTCCTGACGTCCCAGGTTCATAGGCTTTTACGAACTCACTGGTGGGCTACCTCTGTATAATTTTCTTTGGTCTTATTATTCATTCTATGCTTCTAACTCCAGTAATTGTAGCTTCTGAGAAAATGGTTTCTTATGTGCCTCTCTTAATGTCTCCACTGTGTTGGCAGTGCTTAGGGTCCTAGGAACAAATCTCTCTGAGGAACAAACTCTG